GAAGAACCAGAGAAAGAAGCAGTCTCTTGACACTTCAGGGAATACTGGACGCTTTGCACACATCACCATGCGAGTTTGTGAGTAAACGTGTGCGTGAGTTTGTGTGTGTGTGTATGAGCTTCTGTGTGCATATGTGTGCAAGAAGACCACTGGATTGATGCTGTGCAAAGAACCAGAATTCTTTTTTGTTGTTTGTTAGCTACCTTCCATCAAAAATAGATTCAATCAGGGGCGCCTGGGCGGCGCAGTCGGTTAAGCATCCGACTCTTGATTTCAGCTCAGGTCGTGATCTCAGGGTGGTAAGATGTGAGCCCTGCTTTGGGCCCCAGCACTCAGCGCAGAGTCTGCTTGAGATTCTCTCCCCCTCTCCCTCTGCCCCTCCCCACCACGCTCTAAATAAATAAATAAATAAATAAATAAATAAAATCTTTTTTAAAAATGGATTCATCAGAAGCAGAACCATTGCTTCAAGTTAGCATGTTTAACCAGAAGAGAGGATTATAGAATCAGCTTAGTGAGTAAAATTAACTTACATAAAAAGTAGCTACACAAGCAGCCCCTTTTTGCTCCAAGTGCAGAAATTGACACATTTTCATTATAATCCCAAAGGATAAGATTCCTAGGGAACATGAGATGAAAAAAACAAACAGGTATCTGACAGCTTGAATATTTGGCAAAGGATTATTTCATTACCACAAGAAAGTTTTACAAGTAAAATAACACAAATTAAAATAATTTAAATAATCGTTACTTTGGCCCAAGAGAAGGAAGGAAAAGAAAAAGTGGCTCAGCAGCTGCCGCCTCTGATACCTGCCTGATTTCCCAAACGAACCCGAAAGGCAAGAGCAGCCTCGATCTTTCTGAAGTTGGGAGTTTTTTTCAAACCCACTGGAAATATTTGCATTTCTTTTATTTAGTGCCCATTTGCTTGTCATCATGGGAAAAAGTACTTCAGCTAGGACCCAGAATTCTAACCCTGAGGTGAAAGCCCTTCTTGGGGGGTGGCATAAGGAGAATTTGCTGTGTCTTTGTCATTCCTGCGGCCCTTTGCCCCAGCTAAGCAGAGCCGTTCAAGCTCCTTGTTTTAGAGCAAAAGCAGACTCAGAAATCATTTCATCTCCTTTTTACTGATAACACTCAAAGAGGTTATAGTCCTTGCTTAAGGTCACACAGTGAATAAAGGCAGGGCCAGGGCTGGACTTAAAACTCTACAGCTCTGCATCAAACCAGGTACTGGGTTCAAATACCAGTTCTACCACTGATTGGTCGTGTGACCTTGGGCCAGTCATTTAACTTTTCTGCACTTCATCTATATAACAAGGACGGTTGCTGTACCCAGCTCATCAGACACTGTGAAGACTGGTGAATTATTTCAGTAAAGCCCCAAAACAGTGCTGGTGCATGACAAGTGCCTGATCATCACCACCACCATCATCATCCTCACCACCATTAACACCACCACCACCACCATCATCATCATTTCTCTGTAGGGAGGTTTCCATATACATTTTAGAATCCATTGAACCCTCGTGATTTATTCATGTTTAAGTATGATAGAGGACTTAAAAAAATGTATTTTAAGTGTTGTATGATTTTCAGGGCAATCAAAATGTTAGATCGGAGATTAGTCATTCAGTCAAAATGAGTTTCAATTTCTACATTTGACAAAAGACAACACTTGTTCTAGCCACCTCATACAATTAGGTAATGAGCATATGAAATGTGTACAAAGGTGAAAAAAGAAAGGAAAGAGGTGGAATTTATGGAGGAACCACGGGTGCTCAGTGATTTACAACACTTAATTTAATCCTCCCCAAAACCCTGTTGTGGATATCCCACAGACAGGATGGTCAGCCACTCAAAATTTGGTTTGAACGTGAAGACTGAAAATGCCACAGACACACCAGCAGGGGATGAACAGGTTCTTGCTCACATAATGGGGCTCTCTGGGGAGGTCAGGCAGCTCCCAAATAGATCCCCAGTGGCTTAAGACAGAAGGGAAAGTAACCGGCCAGGGCGCGTGGACAGGGAGCTGCAGGCGGGGGCGGAGCCAGTAGCGCATGGGCGGGGCTTACGGGGTTGGAACCCCTCCCCAACACCCAGGCTTTCCGATCAGCTTGCCCGGATGTGGAGCAGAAGGCAAGAGGGAGAGGGAAGACTGAAAAGCTGTCAACGGTCACGCATCAAAAACCCAAATCAGACCCTGTATTACAAACCCTATGAGGTAGATCTCGTTCGCAAAGATGAGGAAACTGAGGCTCGGTCAGTTTAGATCACCTGTCAGAGCAGGTTTTAACTGCGGCGGCTCAACCTCAAAAAAGCACATCCTGCCTCCACACCACAGTTAGTTCCCAGAGCCTGTGAGTGCCTGTCACCGGGCGCCAACAGAAGTCGGTCAGCCGACCACAGGAAAGCTGAACACAGCCTAAATCCATTTTAATCCTAACGAGTGGCTTATGAGTTTCTTAATTTTCTCGAAAAAAGAAAGAAAAGAGAAGAGAAAGAAAAGAAACAAAACTTCCGAGTTAGGTCCCATTGTTTCCATTGCTAACATTATTGTCTTTGCGATGGGGGGAGGGGTGACACTCTGTTTAAAGGCTTCTCTTCACGTCCAGGTAAAATTCCATTTCCAATGTATCCAGTGAGCATTAGGTTTTATTTCAGTAAGCACCCGTCTGCAATGGCCAACATCCATTCCCCTTATCTGTAACTGAGCGTGTGTAAGGGTTTTTTTACCCCTCTGTTTATCTTCTCTGTTGAGATTGCCTTCTTTCCCCCCAAAGAAAACGAGAGTCTCTAGTACAACTGCAAGATCATACAAGATTAAAATGAAATTATCAGGATTCAATTTTTTAGGGGTTATAAGGCTCTGAATCATCTCAGTTAAGTTCTTCTGGGTAACCAAGCCAGATCGGGTTCCACATTTGCTAAGCTTTCCTGTTAGAATTAGACTTATTTCAGCTTTCTCTCCAAGGAGGAGCTCCGAACACACGGTATTGCTTCTCCTCAGGTGGGCAGCACTCCACAGCTAACACTGCTGGAATGGGAGCTAGACAAGAAACCTAAATCTGTCTTGAACCAGTTGGTTCTGCAATAGTTTGGTTTTAGTTTGTGAGTCTTTTCTGGATGAATTTCATTACATATCAAGCCTACTACTTAGGACAAAAAAATATTTATGTTTCTCTGTTAGTCATCTAGGAAACACTACAGAGGTATTTCCCTTTCTTGAAGATTCCTTAGAATTTTTGAGTCTCACACACACACACACAAATCTCAGAGTTGGGTTAAATTCCCAATGTCCAGCTTTTCTTTCCCTTTACTTAAACTGAAGTACACACTAACCTACTGTCTCCTGTCCATCCCTACTATACCCGGAATCTGAACCAACAATTTCTTTCCAGGATGGACTTCAGATATATAGAACAGCAGTTCGACAGAAGCATTCAGGCAACTCATTTCTTCAGGCAAAGTGATATACACCATCAATCAATGGGGGAAATTAGTAAGCAAGATTTTGTCCTAATGGTTAGAGAGCCTCCAACAGCAAATTCCCCAAACGGTCATCATGCCCCAAATCCACCCAGATAGTCATATCACACACGCTCATCATCATCATCATCCCCTTTGAGGAATTAAAGCTTATTGGAACCAGTTAACAAAGAAGGGCACAATAATGAAAAGAGAGATTCAGGTTGGGAATTTGCTACTAAAGAAAACAAAATTCTAGGAAATAGCAAACATTCTGGCTGTCAAGGTCAAGCTTTTCAATCCCTTTTAGCTCTATTAAAAAATATATATTAAAGCTTATCTCATCTCATGTCATATGTGGCCTTTCTTCCCCTACAGAAAGAAGAGTCCATTTGGGCATTCTCTAAGTAACTCTTGGAGCATTTTATAAAATGTTTATGAAACAAACTCCTCCACTCCAAATGCATGAAAGAAAGCATCTGATCCCAGATATGTTTCACATTCACCTGGTTTAACTGAATAATTCCAGAGAAGTTCATTATTTGCCCCTGCCCTGGAACAGAGACTTGGGAATTTTCTACCCGCACACACGCCGCTACCGACTCGCCTATTTGAAAATGTTGATGTTAATAGGTTTCACTGAGCTTTAGCATATTTGTAATCCAGCCTCTTTTATTATGTTCTGCCAAATTCTCTTGTAAATCCCAAATCCACGCGCGGCCGCTGGCCATCTCCCATCCCTCGCGCCGCGCCACGCTTCCTCGAAGCTTCCCAGTGCCCTGCTCACGCCCTGAATGCCCGTCCCAAGCGTGCGCCTCGAGGAGCGGCCATCCCGGAGCGAGACACACCGAGCCCCACGCACAATGTCCCCTCGAACGTCTCTGACTGTTGCAACACCCCCTCCTAAGCCCAGAAAGGGCTGGTCGCAGGCCGCGAAAAGGCAGCTGCCCTCCCGGCCTCCAGCTGCCAGATCAGAGCCTTCAAGGCTGGAGGAAAGAAAAGAAAGTGTCCGACCACCTGGCACGGAGCCCGCCATCACCCGACTCCCATACCGCGCACCCTCGACACACGCAGGGGCCAGCGGGACTGGGTGCGGGGGCCGCTTGGACACTGAACACCTCGCCGGGGACGCTCGGAGCTGGCTCCCCTGAGCTGCCCCGGCGAGCACTGAGACCCCGCTCTAGCGGAGCGTGGCTTGGCCCGGGCCAGGAGGGGCGCGCCACTTGGGCGCCAATGGTCGTGCCAAGAGTAACGGGGTTAGGATGGCTGCCAGGCCCTGGAGCGGCGCGCCCCGAGAGCCCCGGGCTTGGCACGGTAGGAGAACTGGGGTGGGTAGGGAAGAGACACTTGCTAGGTCGGCCAGGGGTTCGCACCCACGCGGGCCAGAAGGCCAGATTCATCCCCTCCCCGAAGAAGGAGAAGCTGGTGTCAAGCATGCTGGAGCCCCGCGCCGCGCAGCGCGCAGCGTCTGGCGGAGAGAAGCTGCTGGTCCCGGGCCGGCGCCCCGCCCCACGCCCGCCGGCTCCACTCACCTGGCAGTTGGCGCCGGAGACCCCGGCGGGGCAGGTGCAGCTGTAGTCGGGCTCGCCCGCAGGGGCCGGGGACTGCGGGCCAGGCGCGGGGCGCGGGCTGCACACGCCCCCGTTCCGGCAGGGCTGCGCGGCGCACGGCCCGGGCGCGGGCAGGGGCGCGGCGGGCACCGGGCTGGCCAGGCAGCCGCCGCGGGGCCCCGCGCCGAGCAGCAGGAGCAGCAGGGCCGACGTGGGCAGCAGCTGCGCACCGGGCGCCGGGACGCGGCGGGGCGGCATGGCCGACCGAGTGGGCGCGGGAGCGGGAGCCGGAGCTGGGGCGCGGCGGCGGCGGTGGCGGCGGGAGCGGCGGCTGTGGCGGCGAGGGCTGCTCCGCTGGGCCGGGCGCCTCCTGCAGCTGCTGGGATCCGCGGTTCCCGGGGCAACGGAGGGCGGGGCCTGAGGGGCGGGGCAAACGGGGGCGGGGCTCCGGGCGGGCGCGGGCGGGGGAGGAAAGGGGCGTGGGGACCCTTCCCCCGCGGAGAGTTGGGACGGGAGGAGCGCAAAGGTCGCCCCGGGCCCACAGGCCTGAGGGGTGCGGTCAGAGTCGCGGGTGTGTCCAAAGAACCCCGAGGGGCAGCGGCGGCGGCGCGGGCCCGGCGGGGAGCTAGGCGGTGCTCGGGAAGGAGAGGGGGTGAAGGGGTCAACGTCGGCGCTGGGAGGAGGGCGGGGCGGCCCCGGCTCGCAGCAGCGGCCCGCGGCCTCTTGGCGCAGAATCGGCGGGACGGCTGCGGGGCCCGGCCTTACCTCATTCCCCCGGCTACTCCTCCCCTTCCCACAGCACTCCCCTGGCACACACAACCCGCCCCGCGCCGCCACCGAACCCCGGAGCCCCGACACCCGTTCCTCCGCGGGGCTTGCTGTTTCCCTGGCGTGGGCCCAGCCAGCCCCGGACCCTTGTCCTTGGTGCTGACCGAGGAGTCTCCTTTCTCTCGGGCTCTTTCCCGAGGGCGGAGCCGGCCGTGCTACTCAGAAACGTCTGACTGTGGCGTGTGAGAGCTGGAAGAGACCTCAGGATCAGTGTCCAACCCTGTCGTTGAGCCGACGAGGAAACTGAGGCCCAGACAGGCTGGACTGGAACCCAGAGGGTCACTTGACTCCCAGCCCAGAACGCTGTCAGTCTTCTGCAAGAGCGGTTCAGGAGCACAGGTTCACAAAGGCCCTGCCAGGATTTACTATGGAGCTCTGTGTAAAAGGAACATCCACCGTGACCTACTTGGGGAAAGGGAACTCTTCTAAACGTCCCGGTTAGGCTGGCTCATGCTTTGACAGCCAAGGAGATCAATTTCCGTTGCATAAACCCAACCAGCTTTGTCTCCACCACCCGACCTTTCACAACCTCTAGGTATAGACTCCCAGGTACTTGTTACCTTCTTTTTAAGGTGGCCCCGTGAGAAAAGAAAACGTGACTCTCGTGGTTTGACAGTTGGGCAATTTTTTTGGGGGGGGGACTCACAAAAATAGTTTTGTAAAAGCTGGGCAAATAAGAAAGTAGAGAATCCACATGAACCCATGCAGGGAGGTGCCCCAGATGAGCAACCAGGAGGTGCTAAAAGTGTCCTGTGAACATAGGCAAACTGAAGAGCCACTCCCAGTCCTGCACAGAGAGGAGCAAATGTCAGGCTTTTGTGCTTAGGGAGATGCCTAAAATTCATGTGGTCATTGTAGGAAATGGTTGAAACCCAGATGCAGCTGCATGCAGCAGGGGGAATTCAGACCTCCAAGTGGATCAAACAGTTACTACATATTCCCTCACACCCGCAGTCTTTTATATGAGACTTCTTTAAAAAAAAAAAAAAAAAAATCTTAAGTTTATGCCACGCCAGCACCCTCTGCTGGTACTAGTCTCACCATTCAGGTGTTTCTTCCACTTTCTGTGCCCCCGGATTATGTATTCTTTCCTGAAACTAACTTCTCTTACGTTAAATCCTGAAAAAAAATGCACTGAAAAAGTGCTGCTCACTCCCTTCTGTCAACACACACACTCAAATGAAGTGTAAGGAAGTTTGTAAGCTAATTAAAAATCACACCTTGGTTTCCTATACATTTACCTAAGCAACCTCGTTGTGTGTGAATTTTGTATCACTTTGAAATATGGGGGGGAAAAAAGCTAACACTGGTTTTATTTTCTGGATGCTGATTCTTGAATTTTCCAGATAATGTTTAGCTTTTGTAAAAGTATTCTGTCTTTAATAAGGTTATTACAGCAGAGACAATATAAGACCATTTCATTTTTCTCCAAACTAAAAAGAAAGACTAAATCTTCCAGCCCCCTTGCTGATAGGTGGAGCCATGTGATTGGTTTTGGACAATAGAACATAATGCTTTGTGCTCTGGCCCCAAAACATCCACACACCAAATACCATGTAAGTGTTTATTATTATTATTGCTGTTATCATTCTTGAAAAAGTGGGTCTTTTCTTTGGCTTTGAAGGCTGATTTGGTTCTTGGTTGACAGTTTCCAACCATCTGCAAGACCCCCAAATACCAAACTACAGAGTCCAACTAATATATTACCTTGCCTTATTAACAGAAGTTATTGAAATACTGTTGGTTCTACATTTAAATGCCAGCTAAAAAACCAAGTATCATTGGGTTCATATTATTCCAAACTTACAGAACATCAAGTCTTCACCCTAATCCATCTCATTTCGCTTCTTGATAGAGACCCTACATTAATAAGTTGAGGACAAAATATAAAAATAATGTGTCTTAATTTCAATAAAGAATGTGATAAAATTCTCATGATCACCTTAGGGAGAAAGTAGACTTGAAACCATTGAACAAGTATAGTCTGAACATTCTAGTCAGTGGATCTCTACTAGGCTAGAGGAGGTTTTTGGGGAAATGCCATAGAATCTCAAAATTCAACAGTTAATACAATTCATTCCAGAATCAGGATGTCAAATTATCAAAATACCAGTAAAAATGCTGAGCTAAAATAAGTGAAATAGAGTATTAAGTCAATGATGGTACATTTGGCCTTACTGCCATTTGCCAATATTTCTGTCTCTCCTTCTTTTAAAAACTTCTCTTTAGGACTATATTTTCCTGTCCCCTTGAAGTTAGATGTGGTCATACGACTTGCCTTGATCAATGAAACATGAGGGGAAGTAGCATGTACTACTTACAGGTGCATGACTCATGTGACCAGGCTGACCAGCAAGACTCCAAGAGATGGAGGATCCTCCAGCCCATGTCCCTGTGGGAGGACAGTGTGGTGAAGCAATGGGAACCTACAATAGGCATATGGTGTAAGACATAAATTGTTGTAGTTTTAAGCCACTGAGAATCAGCGATGTTAAATAACTCCAGGTCACACACTAGTAAGTGGCAAGGCAAGACTAATTATCCCCAATGAGCCATGTAGCAGGACCAGCTAGCTCGGATGGACTATTCCAGTGAGATAGAAGACTGGATATGTAATTGCGGATTCCAAGGTCTCTGGATTTAATGGAACAGAAAAATTTCAAGAAACAATGTGGTCCATTTTTTTCATGGATCTACTCCAGAGTTATAACTCAACTGCATTATACTGTAGGATGTTATAAAAATGTTATAAACCAATGCAAATATAATTGTGTTTGGTTTTTGCATTTTGTCACAGGAGAGAAAATGCTCCCATGCTAGCACCAGTTCATGGGCATTTGGGGAACTGCTGGCCTCAATAAGAGCAACACTCCTCTTCATGGGGAGGTTCTCATACCCTATGACCTCCAGAGCATCCTGTGGGAATGCTGGTATCAATGCATAGTGTGATGATCCATACACTTAGAATCTCATAGTCAGAACAAATTGCAGAGGTTACCTGGTATGATCTCCCAGGGTCAGAACTAAGATCCACACTGGAACATGTACATGGTGTGATAAATCACCTTCAGCTTACCTGGAGCTCCACAGGTACTAACATATGCATCTATCAATGATTGAACACTCACCTTCTCCCCTAAAGCATTTAAGTTTTCTGCAACCCTTGGCAGATGGATCCCTACCCCTCTCTCTGCACCAGAGTTGCCTGTAGACAGTGATGTCATTATCATTGCCTTTTCTCACTTTCAGTTACTCTTTAAAAATAAAGGGGGACATTCCTGCCCCCCTGCAGAGGGTGGGCCTTGATGCTGGATTGAAGCTGGAGTCAGCTTGGAAAAAAGTCAGCCACACAACCTAGAGAGAAGGGACATTGTTACACTGCCTGACAATTTCCTGCCATGAGATCAGCACCAAACAGCCTATCATGACCAGTTGCATCAGGAGCCATGATGATGTTGGGCAAATTACTCGTCTTTTTCACCTTCAGATGCCACATAATATAGAGATAGAAATCCCTAAGTTGGAGAAGGTCATCAAAGGAATGTGATGGCCGATTGACCTGCAAATTGGTTACCTGTGCAATTAGAGGCTCCTCACCCCCATCCTCACTCCCATCCTCACCCCATGTCCCGGGAATGTACATTCCATCCACTCTTCTTATAGCCAGAGCTATTCAAGGACATAACCTTGAGAGAATAAGGTGCTGTTGAGACCATCTGGACTAAATATGTGACTGAACCCAGTTAAAGTCTCCATATAAACCCCTAAGATTCTGGTGGGCAGGTGTAGAGATCTACTCATATTGCTGTCCGCCAAGACAAACCTCATATGTAAGTTCTCTTGCTTATTAAAATTGCCTCACCAGTCTGGAGTGACCTGCCTCTCTCTTCAGTTTCTCCTTGTCCTCCATGTTTGGGATCCAGTTTCAGATTTCACCTGGTAAGCTCCCAAGGTTGTAAAATAAAACCCTACTTGATAGAGATCTTGGGAAAACTAAATGGGCTGATACCATGTGGTAATGTGTGGAATATGTGCAAAATATACGTATATTTTTTTACATATTATCTCATTTAATCCTAACCCCAGACCATAAGGCAGAAACCCAATTAAAAGAAGACAAAATTAAGGTGCAATGAGGTTCAGTAAATGGTCTAAAGTCACCCAGTACACAAGTAGAGTGGCCAGAACTCGAGCATAGAGAGGAGTCTGGCTGATGAGTCTGTACTTTGAACCCCTTCTCTTCATCTGCTATGTGAATCTCCTATGGTGCAGAGTCTGACGTTTAGTAGATAGTGCACATTATATATATGTAATACATATATGATACATGCATCCTATCTAATGGATAGGTGATGTGGGTTTCATATCTGTGAAGTGTATCATCTACGTGTGTGATGTCTCATGTGTATGCTGAATATGTTGTATGTGTA